TACTGTTTAAGATATAAGTACGCAAAAAATGCCTAAGACACACATAAATCTCTGTACGTACGTTCTAATTATTTTCTTCGTTACAGGACAACGGTACGGACAATAATCCCTACAACGTTAACGGCATCATCTACACCTCCTTTCAAGAAAGAGCCACCTTCATCTCCCACGGCAACACCGCCCGGCACGCCAAGCACCACGGCGACGCCGCCCTCGCCAAGATCTGCGGCCTGATCGCCGCTGACGAGAAGCGCCACGAGACGGTCTACACCAAGGTCGGCGACAAGCTCTTCCAGCTCGACCCTGACGGCATGGTGCAGGCCTTCTCCGCGATGATGAGGAAGCGCATAACGATGCCCGGCCGCCCTCCTCATGTACGACGGGCAAGATGACGACCTCTTCGCCCGCTTTGCCGCGGGGCGTGTACACATGCAAAGATTACGCAGACACGGTGGAGTTCTTCGTTGAGAGATGGAAGGTGGGGGACGCGAGCAGCGATTTGTCCGGCGAAGGGAGGAGGGCGCAGGAGTTTGTGTGCGGGCTGGCCGAGAGGTTTAGGAAGATGGAAGAGAGGGAGCAAGAGCAGGAGATCGTCGGAGATGGTTGAGTTCAGTTGGATCTTTAACAAGCAAATCATGGTCTAGCTCGTGGCTAGTCTGCTTCTCTGGAAATTATAGGGTTAACCGCGCATAAACTTCCCGTAGCACTGCTGTTTTCCAACTTATAATCCTGTAGTTACATTGTTGCGGATAGACCCCCGGGTTAAAATCTTTTCGCTCTTCTGCCCTTGGAAAATTCTTGACGGATATTGCGCCCAGGTGAAATTGGTGATTTCATCTAAGGGCAAAAGAGTAAAAAGAATTTTACCGAGGGGTCTATTTGCGGCGATAACACCACAGGGTAGTTGATTGAAAACACTGATACTACAGAGGGTCTATGTGCAATTAACACCCAAAAAGTTGGCAGTTTCCTTCGCCCTGCATTGGTTTTAGTTGTAGGGATGTAATTGAAGTTCTACGTTATATTGTTTGAGAGACCGTATAGGAATTGAAATGTTTTCCAATTTCCTACCTGCATAATAATAATTTCTGAAGTTTCCAAATCTCTCCAACCACAAGTAGTGTTGAGACTTGCACGCACTACATACTGTGCGGTAACATTTGTGAGGAGCAAAAGGACTCCAATTAAAGATTCTAGTTACACAACTCAACAGCTTTCACAAAGAAAGTGATATACATTAGCAAGAATCAAAATTTTCACTTGAGTAACGAACACATGGGGTATCACTTCATTTCTATGGAAAAGAGGATTATGGCGGAGAAAATTTCTACAGGCGACAATCCAGCTGACTTGCTAACCAAGAAAGTTCCTCCTATCGCAAGTACATGCATGCATTGTTTGCACTTACTTAGCATCGGGCACGCGACATAGCCCGTTATAGGGAATATTGACGGTAGCAAGCTCCGGTATATGCTGTTCTTAAGATAATAGGATTCAATTCAAGGTGATAAAATTTTATAAAGATCGCGATTAAATCCTCTCAACATAGACGTTTGCACAAAGATCTTTGACAGATCTCTGGATGCAGGTATCTGTAGACATCACTGAAACAAGTTCTAAGAAAAACAGTAGTTTGAAAACACCGTTTACTCTTCAGTGCACCCTTCAAAGCTTCGATGTCAACGCCATTTACTAAAAATTCCAATGACGTGTGTGATGTAAAGCATGCCTATATCAAGGATATATCTCAGTACATACTTCTGATGCAGCAGACAAACTGTAGCATACAAATGTAGCCTAACATGGATATCCAACATTCAATAAGCAAAGTGAAATTATACAACTCTTACCCCCGACCAAAAAGAATTGTGAGATTATATACCAAGAACAAAAGCTTCATTCAAAATTAACCCAATTGCTCCGCGTAATCGTCACAGAAAATCTACCTGGCGTTACCTGTAATAAAACCAACTAATTAAACTATAGCAGGCAACTGATGTTTTTCTACGCTAATTACATGCTAATTAAGTATTGTGATTGGCTAGGTACGAGTATTTTGCACTCATATTATGGTTGTCCGAGATAATTATTAAAGGATCATGTACAGTTGAAGCCACTTCAGAGCAACGTCGCTGCAGGAAAACATGGGTTTACCACACTATTTTTCTCCCTTCACTTCACTGCATAGTTTAGGACTTCATTAAGACAATAAATGTACTTTCTTCTTTTTGAACGATGAGGGCTTATATTTAAATAATAATAACAATAATAATAAAACAAAACAAAACAAAATAAAACTCAAGAATAGAGGGTTATCTTATCTGATTTAGATTTCAATGTTTTCTATTTCTCAGTGATTGGATGATCAAGCTTAACCCTTCTCTCTTTATTCTCCTTTGTTATCCAAATCTTGTAGAAATATTTTATGATAATGATGTGTTTTCACAACATATACACATTAAAAACTCCGTGTGCAGTAGTGGGATCGACCACCCAAAGCATCTTCTCATCACTATAAAAAAGCTATGTGCGTGTATTTGTGCAAAATAACTAAGGTTCATACTCCTCTCTCACTGTCAGTTTGGGATTCTTTCTCTTCATCTCAGACTTCCCTTTGTGGGCAAGTAGGGTTTTCTGCATCTAAACCAGAATCTTCAAAGTTTCTCATGGCATATCTTACAAAACCAATTTTGTATGCTAATCTACACAATCATTTTTAATTATAATCATGACCATGTATTGTTTCATAGATAAACTCGACCGAAAACATCAATATCCTACACTGAATCCAAACGAACAAAAGAACGGTAAGAAATCTAGTAGTATTTTTAGCGAAAAGAAAACCATAAACATTTGGTAGTTAAATGAAGATTAAATAGAGGTTGAGATTCAAACTAACTAAAAATTTTAGATATTGATCCCAACTTTCTAATTAACCCTGTTACATTTTCTTAACCCGTCCAATATCATTCTGAATTTTGAACACCGATGAATTTCGAACACCCTAGGGATCGATAAGAACCAAGTTTAAACTATATAAATGGTGCTCTTAGACACTAATTGCACACTCATTAACCAGTGGGATTAGCTATGATTGTGTGTTTTGTAATCCAATGTTGGATTTTCGAGAGCAATTAATGCGCACTGACAGAATCTTAAGTGATGTACAGATGAAGTCGCTTCAGAGTGACAACACTGCTTACAATATACAAATAGTGAGCAACACTTCCTCTCTTGACTTCATTAGATATTCAAATATTTTGTTTTACAACACCTTAGCCTGCATTTGATCTTAGCAAAAGGGAAAAAATGACAAGGAACCTCTCCTCATCGTCTCAAGCTTTCTTCTCAAAAGAGCTGGAAACTCTTTTATGGTGCTAATAGTTTGTGGATCAGGACATGACTACCAATATTCTAGGATCATCCACCGTATCTAAGCTTACCAGACCCTTAGTTGTCTTGCGGCACCTACAGACCTGACACGAGACTTCGCTCTTTTTTTTTTAGACCACAGTCTGAAATTCAATACCATTTGTTGGGGGAGAAATAAAACTCCTGAACTTTAATACTGTTTGTTGAAAAAAATGACCACATAAACATTTGGAAGTTAAATGAATCCTAAATCGAGGTTTATAGTCAAATCAACTAAAATTTTAGGTTTTTTGTTTTTTCAAGAAACCATGAAACGATTTTATTAATTCTCTTTAAAACAAATTTAGGTATAGATCCCAACTTTTTATTTAACTCCGTTACTTTTTCTTATTCCATGCAATGTCAGTCTCTGCTTACACATGAATTCCTAACTCCCCAGGCATCAATAAGAACCAACATTTTAACTATGTAACTGGTGCTTTTAGACACTATAATTGCGCACCCATTAAGCACTGGATTAGCTATATTTAGTGTTTTGTACTCCAAATTTGGATTTACGAGAGTAACTGATACACGCTGACAGAATCTAAGTGAAAATGATGTACAGTAGAATCCCCTTCAGAGTAACGGTATTACACACAATATACAAATAATTAGGAACACTGAATATTAATCTCTTCATTTCATTGCATGTTTTGCTTCACAATATCTAATTAGCTTGCGTTTATCTTGAATAAAGAAATACGAGGGGTATCCGCGGTGCCCGCCCATGGGGGGGGGGGGCGGGCGTCGTCGCGAGGGTCCGGACTGGGGGGGGCGTCAGTGGGCTGCGCGGCGGGGGAGTCCCCGGCCCTCCTTCGGGGGCGGTTGGAGGAAGGACCGTTGCTGACAACGAATTTCTGTCGCCTCCATCATGAGAGCTACACAATTTTCTATTCAAAAGAGTAGAAACTCTTCTATGGTGCTAAAAAAGCGATCAAAGACCTCAAGAATCGTCATAAGACTTAACCTCCCACCCAAGACTAGGTTTCTTCTCAAAGGATACTGATGCATTGTTTTCATTCCTCATTTTTCTTTCGGAATTGCATAGCACATACTAATAGTCTAATACCCAAGCATATTCTAAATTTTGTTTTCCTTAGCAAGCACATTCTCAACCTTTCTTTCTTTTAATTTACTTGTGATAATTTAGTAATTGTACAATAAGCCCTGCTAGAGAAACCTGGACTAGGATGGGAGGTTTAGGCTCATGACAATTCTGGACTAGTTTGATGGCTTGTTGACACCATAAGATAGTTTTTTTAAGTAAAAATTTGAACAGCAAGTTTGAGACGAAGAGGACAGCAATAATGACAGTTTTGAAATCTGTGATTAGTCTTAGTCATGGTCACGAGTATCATCTCCTTTAAGTTATTTTAGCAGTGTTTTCCGTTTATCCGGTAACTTGACTGTCAGTATGTCTGGCAATCTCTACCGCCTGAAACTGATCTCCATGTCGCAAGTACCCAACAAACTTGTCTGTGTCTTTTGTTATTTGGATACCCTATGGAATCTGATAATTATGATGTAATCCCCTTTAATCTAGCTACAACAAGCCCTGATTTGGATTAAGCAAATTTAATATTACTTCCAAAAAATACAGCAATTACAACTATTAGGTCGAATTGACATATTGACCTAAAATTAATGTGCTATACAAACTATTCTCCTCTGTAATATAGGGTAATCTTAGGACAGCTTGCAAGGAGGTGCTGAGGAACAGAATGGTTCAGGTATCACAATACAATTCAGCCTAAAATTGAGAATGGAACTTCATGTCTCATATACAAGGGCATCGCACACCTTTTGCATGATCAATAGTTATTACACCAGTATGATATAGGCAAAGTGTTGTCATAGAATAGTTTTATAGATAAACTTGACTGAAAACTTCAATATCCTACACAGAATCCATAATGAGCAGAAGAACAAGTAAGAAATCGAATGTTAACTGACCTTCAGAAGTTTCTCACTTTGGCCATATAGAACAAAAATTTCCATCCCATAAAATAGAGAGAATAAATTCTTCAAAGCCAACCTCATTCTTCTTTCTTCTCGACCCTTTTCTCCATTTCTGGTATCCATGAAATCCAACAGAGTGGTATCAGAGTGAATGCAGCCTGTATCACAATTCCAACACCAAGCCCTGAAAAATCTCCACTAGAAACACCAACTAAAGAAGCAAGAGCAACCCCCAAATACCCACTCAAAATAACCGACAAAGCCATAGCTGACATAAGAAATGCCATCACAGACCCCTCACATCCAGCTGGACACAGCTGAGCCAAGAGGACACAGAGAGGAAGCAGCTTGAAGATGAATAAAACCTCCAATAACCCCGAGAAAATTGTCACATACACCGAATCTGGAACTCCCAAATCCTTATAAATACCCTTCACAAAAAAGACATCTGACATCATGAATACAGCAATCGTGACCTGAAGTATGAACAATAGCTTCCTCACTGAGGTTTTCTTGAACTTGTTATTGTATGCGATGCTCCATGCCAATAGACCTGCTTGTCCGAAGACCTTGGATAGGCCGATAACTGATGAGTCGAGGTTCAGGTGTTCTGTCTGGTAGAAGAACATGGTACCTGTAAGCACCGGAACCATGCCAATTGATGCTGAGAACCAAGCAATAGAACGATAAATTTCAGGTTTTTTCAAAGCGAAGGATATATCAGAAATTTGTTTCTTGATGCTTGAAGATTTTGATGAGTTGCTCAACCTTTTGGGGAAGTTAAGCGAGTTTTCATTGAAAGATACAATGAAAAAGAATTGGAGTAGTGCTATGAGGCCAAAGATGAGGAATATGGTCAATGGAGAGAGGCGATTGATAACGATGCCACCGAGGAGATTTCCAATAATACCAGCAGAGGAACCAGACATCCAGCTAAAGGACTGGAGGGAGGCGGAGGTGGAGGGGGAATTCTGGGTTTGCTTGCCAGCCTCGGCAATGATGGCATCATTAGCAACCTCTGTAATGGATGCACCGAGGTTGCTAAGGAGGAGGAAGAATGCAAGGGTGGCGATGGAAATTTCAGGTAGGATTGCAATTGATATCCATGAGATCGCCTGCAAAAGTGCTGCAGAGAAAAATGTAATTCAGTAGCTGACTGATGCCTTCCTGATATAAAATGCAGTAAAAATAGCACCATCAATATTTTTTGTGGGAGCAAATCTATGGAAGTCATGAATGTAGGAACTTCTTGTTTCTGAATCATATTGCAAGACTTTTCTACTATGCTACATATTGCGCTTATTGGTTTATATGTCTTCTAATTCTAGGAACCACTTAGTTTTTTGGAACTTGCGTACGGATTTTATGTCGTATGCATTTAAGCACCTTCTTAACGCGAGGAGAAAACTCTTCTAACATGTACTATGTAGACAGCTTCTGATCTGTGCATCTATTCCATTACAGCAACCACCCTACTAGAATTTCACGATCCACAATTTTGAATCAATAAACGTAGATAAATTGATGGGCTCACCAAAACAGGAGTTTTTTTAAATACCTTTTAATGTAACATACAGCTTCTTTCTTAACTAGCACTTTATAAGCTGTAAGCATCCCAAATTTCCTCTTCTCCATTACAGCAACTACCCTACCAGAACTTCAAGATCCACAATTTTGAATCAATAAAGGTAGATAAATTGATGGGCCCGCCAAAACAGGAGTTTTTTTAATACCTTCTAATGTAACATACAGCTTCCTTCTTAACTAGCACTTTATAAGCTGTAAGCCTCCCAAATTCCTCTTCTCCATTGTTGGCCTTAAACAGATTTTAAGTCAGTCTATGCTTCGGAAAAATCTTCAAAATTGCAGTAATCCTATTGTTATCAGCCTTTCTGCACACTTACAGGTTTTTTATTCTCTGTAATACAGTAGTTAGATGTCACAATATATTTTAAATACCAGTACATCATCTCATGACTATTGTCAACAGACTCATGTATTTGAAATAAACGTCAGAAAACCTTCTTCATCTTGCTTTGCTCAACAGTAATATATCATGAGATATAGAATCATATGTGAATAGCTTTTTGAAAATGTTTCTCCATGGTAAAACAGTTTACAGGTCTCTCAAAAGTTCAAGACCAGGATACCACTTTTGTTTGGAAACAAAATCCTCACAGATATAATCCAATTTATCTCATTCTTCCCATATTTCCCAGATTTTTCCCTTAAATATGGATTAAAGACAGTCCTTAACAAACTCAAGCCAAGTATCGTTCATTAACCTAATCCGTGTCTTTACCTCTAAATCAGGCCACAATGACTAACAGTCGCATGCTTTCTACTGGCTAAATCACACTGAACCAATGAACTCCTACCATGAAATTTTCAAGCTAAGGCCTATTTAGAGAATATTTCTTCAAAAACTAAACTTCATGCTAGTTTGTTGCAATTTAACTTTTTGTTTCAAGCTTTTCACATATCATGGACACAAACCTTAAGAAAAAAGTAGTTCTAACATTTTTTTTAATGCTTCGATTGTGTAAATCTGAAATTCCGATAAATTTTTTGAACCAATTTGTCCTGTCAAGATTCTCAGACTCCTGTCATTAACTTTCAAAATCATTATCCGACTACAGAATCGAACTCTAATTGAAAAGAATATCCTGAGATTTAACATATTTACAATTTTACATAGCACAGGCAATTGTGATTTCATATTGGATATTATATTCAGAAAGTCATGGAGCTGGAAAACGCTGACACTTTATTTTACCATAGCAAAGGGTTCTACGCTTAATGTGAGATTTGTAAGCATAGATTAGTTCAGACAGAGAATTCATAGGCAGTTCTGATTTTTCTTGTCAATAATCTTCTACTGGATTTCCTTGAGCATAATTTCCTACTTTGTTGTTTTTTATTTTCAGGTAAGATGAAGGATCTACAACAGCCTTTATCTTGCAGTAAAAAAATATTTACAAAAAGCTAGAATCAACCAGAAAGGAAAAGGGAAAAGCTAAAGAGAAAAGAAAAGGTTCCATTGCATATTATATAAAGAGATCATACATACTAATTATTCCACTCTTTTACTTTATGCAAGAGAAAGGGGACTGTTCTATCAAGGGGAAAAGACTAAAGAGGAATCTGACCGAAGGTAAAACGGGAAAATATTCATTCGTCCAGGTCCACCATATTAACGGTGAGAAAAAGGAATACCAAATATTGCACAAATCCCCAAAAGTCCGATGATCCACGGAACGACATCGCTTTGGCAAACCGTTAATATCATGGAATTTTCTCCAACAAAGGGGTGAGGTCGGATTCATCATCCTTAGTTATTCTATTTATTCGAAGGACAAACAAACTTTTCAATCTCCTCAGAACCTCTAAATCCGTCATGACAAATTTTATGTTTGGTAGTGAGGTGGCACAATCTCATCCACTCATTCAAATGGGGGACCACATTCACATGGGTAGAGGAGTGCATGGGGATATGCAACCATTTGAATGAGTGAAGGGGATTATGTCACCTCACTACCAAGCATACCCATTTATATATATATATATATATATACATCCCTGAAAAATGTATACATGTCCATATTGGGCGCTTGCTTGCATGGATTCCCTATGCCTTGGTGCAATAGCTACATTTTTCTAGAGAAAATACGAACAGAGCAAGTAAATGACTAGCAAATATTAGAATTAAATAATGGTACTACAACAAATTACTTGATTAATAAATTCATCCCCATTGATGTATGGACCCTTTGAGTGAGTAGTCAATGAAAAACTAATTAATTGACAACGCGCAGAAAGCAAACAAATTTTATAGACAAATCTCATACTAGTTCTTCAATTTCTCGGAACACGCTAAACTATAAATTAATTAATTTTCCTACCGACTTTTCAGAGAATATATTATATATATATAAGTATATATGATATATATATATATATATATATATATATATATCTATATATATATATATTTATTTATTTATTTATTTATTTATTTAGTTTAAATTGCAGGAGGGGCGGTGACTGTAAAGCTTTAAAATAAAAAACAGGCTTTTTTTATTAGCACTACTTCAGTTTTTTACGAAAAACACCAAATAATCAACAAAAAATAGTAATCTAAAAAGATCGGTACTTTTTCGCTAACATTAACAAGTCGGTAAAGGCAAAGAAGGAAAGTTTCGCAGCTCTTAAAATTTGAGGGGGGGCGGGTGACGGTAAGGCACAGAAAGGAGCGGGTGGCTGAGGTTCACCGCACCAGTCCGATGGCGACGTAAGGGAGACGTCGCTGGCGTCGAATGGGGAGGTGGCAGTTCGAGAGAAGGGCGGGGTAGAGCGGTTTCTCCGGAGCCGATCGATGTTGGCGGAGGTCATCAAGGGAGCTGGACGGTCGAGGGGTCGAGGGCAAGACCGTCTTTTAGGAAGAAGTTGACTGCCATCCACGGGAAGCACCGGAACCCCTGCACCCAGAACCCCACCCCGACCACCAATTTCACGGGATCCATCGCTGGACTCGGGACCCGCAGCCTGGGTCTCGATGTGGGTGCGTTGGTATTCTTGTTTTTTAATTTTTACTTTCAGGGAGATTTCGTTGGGACTGTGTGGCATT